AATATTAATAAGATATTTTTTTACTAAAATTTTTCTTAAATTCTACTCTACAAAATAGCTATCTTAGATTTTTTTTTTACATTTTATTTAAAATTTAAAAATAATTAATATTTTTAATAAAATGTAAAAAAATTAATTATTGAGATATAGCTATAGACCTAACGTATAACTATTATTTAAAAAAAAAATCAACTAAAAATATTAACTGGATCAAAAGTTATTTAAGTTGTCAGTGAGTGGTGGGCCACCCTGTATACTGGATTTTAATTAATATACGTTTATTATAAAAATCATAATATATAATGTAAATAAAACATTTTTTAAATCATTAATCCTTGTACACCACCATCTTGGAATCGACTCTTAAATACCTATTAAACTTATTGAAACATTTCTACGAAATACTATTTAAAAATAATAATAGTAATAAAAGATAACGACTGAGCTACATAACATTATAAATTAAAAATTAAAAAAAAATTTCATAAAATTATAAATTAAAACATTTTTGTTAAAAAATAGAAATACTTTTGAATACATTTCAGGCAAAATTTTATCGGTTTTCAATTTCATGGACTCGTATAGCACCAACTGGAGAAATGCATAAACTAAATCCTAAAGGAATAGAGTACTATAATCGTTTAATTAATGAAGTGCTCGCAAACAATATTGAACCAATGGTAAAAATAATTTTATTGCTTATTTTTTGTTTATTATAAATACTTACGTATTTTCTATTATAAAGGTTACAATGTATCACTGGGATCTTCCTCAATATTTGCAAGATTTAGGAGGATGGACAAATTCTATAATGGCCAACTACTTTGAAGAATATGCAAAAGTTTTATTTTCAAATTTCGGTGATAGGGTAATATAAAAAAATTATTTATTTAAAATTTACGTACAGATAGGCAAGTGTACAGGCATAAAAAATTATTATACAGTAAAATTGTTAAAATACGTAACATAAAATAACAACGATATAAATAAATTACTATAATAACATAATTTTTAACAATTTAACAATAGTAATATTAAAAGAAAAAATAAACTGTGTGGGAACTTTTGATTAAAATTATTATATTAAATTTATTGAATGAACTCTATTGTATTACTAGAATACAAGAGGCACTGCTAAAAAATATTATTTTGAGATAATTGACTTTAAAGTTTTGATTTCTTGTGTAAATAATATCATGTGTAGATGATTTCAGTGTATATGGTTTTATCTTCATTATAACAATGATCAGTAGCACATAATAATCTTAATAATCTTTTTTAGTAAAAATTACTAATTCACTCCCTCCGTCTATGAGAAAAAAAAATTTTCTTAGGAATAAAATTTAAGATATTTATCAATCTCTTTTTCTATAATTATAATTTTTATAGTTAATATTAAAATTCACGTTTTATGACTTTCATTATAAATTTCTAACTTAGGAGATACGCTTTGATTTTCAGAGGATATGCTATTTCATGTTCCGATTTAACTGAGTTTAACTCAACTTTCTTAGATGGAAGCTGTATCATTTGGTTCACAATTTTATAACGGATTCAGTGATACCACAATGTCAAAAACCAAAATAATTGAGTTTTGTCTATTGTACTCTAGTAGATGTTTGGAGTGTAAGAAAATTAGTAATAGAGTAATTAGTAGTAGAGAATTTAGAACGCTGACCATTGAAGATTTGAGATTAACTAAATTGTCGTAGGGGATTAATTTTTTTAGGAGAGTAAAAAAAAATTAGTTTACTCAAAATTAGTTAAGTTTAAGGTAGATATTTAATTATTGTTATATTTATGATATAGAAACTGATCTATACAAATAAATAAAATAAAATAAATCTTACGAATAGGTCAACTCAAAAATTTTGTCAACTTATTTTGGTCAAAAAATGAGATATAACGTATTGTTACTTAATCGATAATATGGCATTTCATTAAAGGGGAGTCATAACTTATTGACATTCTCCTTAAATGATTACATACATTTTTATCAAATTTAGCGCAATATGAAATTCATAACATTTTTAATGTTATAGTTAAATCAGAATAATAGCACAACTAGATGAAAGATCTTAAATCTATTCTGTGATTTTTGGTCGCAATTAAAATTTTTTTATACTTAGTATGAAACAGAACCACTTGTATCAGTAGTAGTAATATGATCACATTAAGTAATTCCATTGTATAAATATAATTGGCCCATTGGTAAATAGAAAATTTTACAATACCTCATATTGATTTATTATTTCCTATATACTAAGAACTATGATAAACAATTCGAGAGTATACATAATAATAATAAAATAATCTTTGACATTTTAACTTTTATAACTTTCAGGTTAAATGGTGGATTACAATTAATGAACCAATGCAAACATGTAGAGGATATTCAATGCAAATGTACGCTCCATATTTGAAATTAGACAAGACAGGGTATTATTTAGCTGGCCATACTCAGCTTTTAGCACACAGTAAAGCTTATCATTTATACAATGAAATGTTTAGAGATAAACAAAAAGGTTTAGTTAAAATTTTTACGATACTGATATTTTAAGAATAAATTATAAAAATCATTATAAATTTAAGGGAAAATTAGCATTTCTATCAATGCAAACATGTATTTGTCGAAAAATGGGAGCTCAAAAATTGACCAAGACGCTGCTGAACGGGCCAATCAATTTGAAGTATTATTTCTAATTTAATACAAAAACTAAACACGTTTTTTTCAGTCAAGGTCCAAGCTAGAGATAATTTTTAGGAGATTGTGATTGAACTTTGCCAACTGTTGGTGTAAAATTTAGAATCCTTTTTTTTATTCTCAAATTATTTTGTAGATTATTTTTTATTCATCTTTTTAAAGTATATATATATAATATAAGTAATAGAATCGTTCTTTGTTATAAAAGAGAATTTTTTTTCTTATGATAATTAAAAGTTACACTCCCTTTTGTATTGTGTGAATATGAAAAAATTAGATCTATAATGTTTGATCAAGATTGATCAACCATAAGGGTGGCTTTTTAGTTTCTTTTATTCATCTTAAAAAGTATCCGTTATTTTGTTAAAATTGAATTCAATCACATAGGTAAATATCATCTAAAAAAAAATGTTGATTGTAGTTAATTCTTGTTTCTTCTTGTAGTAATCTCTAGGGTGGTTCATGAAAACATTAAGCACATCATCACAAACATCTTCCAATGATTTCATTACCTTTTCATCTTGTATAACTGACAAACAATTATCAATATGTATATTTGCCCGTGTTTAAAAATTAAAAATTAATACTTCTGAACCCAGACGTACTACCAAATTTAATATCAAATATACTTCTTAATAATATTTTATAAATATAGTGGCGATATGGTCAATATAATAAATTGCGTCCTAATAATTGCTTTAATAAAACAGATGGTTGGGTTTAAGGTTAGTTAATTGGGTTAAAGTGATCTATATTTGAAGTAGTAGTATCGCAAAATAATGCTTGCACATGTTCAATGAAAAATCATTCAATAAGAGTTTGGTATATAGCAGTAGAGTGATCATTATTGGTGTCAGTATTTATAAAGAAAACTTCTTAAAGTTGTTTTTTAGCATCAACAAAGTGATTACAGGAAGCCTATTGACTATCAAATTTCTCGTGAGTGCGGGAAAAATTTTTATCATCCCACTGTATAACATCTGTATAATCTTTTGCTGACTTATAATTATAACGGATATTTTCAGTACGTTCTCTGTGTAAATTCATACTAGAATATCGAATTGATAAACTACTTATCATTAATTCATTAACATTATTACATAATCCTTTGGTAGTTTCTATTAATATATGCACAGTATCATAATTACTAATTTTGCATTTGTCTAGTGCGTTGGCAAGTTTTTCGGTAATAAGATTTGAAATTCTCTGTTGTTTTAAAGACGTTTCCTGGATGGTTCATCTTGAAATGGGGTATTAGAATAAGATTATAGCACCTACACAGTCTCAATAAAAATAAATAACAATGAAAGTGTTAAGTTTTACTTTTTAATATCGAAATAATACATTCAATTTAAACATACTATTTATAGTTTCAAGCTCATTTTATGTATGATTTTTATCTTTTACGTTGTTTTCAATTTTTGATAATTTATTATCAACACCAATCAATGAATAAAGACGTCCTTTAGTTCGCTAAGTAATAAAAAAATTTTTATCTTCTTTGATTTGAATTAAATCTAAGGTTTTTGCATTTGTAATATAAAATGAATTTTCCAGGTTGCTTACAAATTTTTTATTTTTATTTGTTTGATTTTCAGTTTTTTCATGTGCCCATTTTTGCAAATTTTCCAACTTTGGCATAATTGTTCTAATCTTGAAATATAATTTTATTTGGTTCTTGTAGGAAATTGATATTTATTCTAAAATATCATAGCTACTTGTATAATTGAAATACCACTTTGATATAAATTTAATTTAACTTTCCGCATATTATGAAAAAAACAGATAAAACTTGCCTATTTGACGGTAGTTTATTACTTATTATCTGGTTTATTTTAAAATTAGCCTCATTGAAATTATTTTCTAGTACATTTTATGAATGCCTAATTAATATTTCATAATAGTTATTTTGTGTAGTGTTTAAAAAATAAACATTTATTACTCTTCATTTGTAACATTTATTGTAATATATATTAGTATATCATAAATAATTTTAAAAATGTTTATGTTTAAAACAAAAAGATTAAATTAAATGTATTTTTTAGTGATATAGTTTTTGGACACAATCCTATTGGATGTTGAATTTTGATCCCATATGACAATTATATCAACCATAATTTAACAAATACATTTTATCATCGATAAACAATAAAAAGTGAACATTTTTTCAATTGATATTGAAACATAAATATATAATTAATTTGAGTATTATAACAATACTTGATAAAATATTATCATAACTCAGTCTATAGGGAGAGACATATGCCCTTAAGTCATTGCCTAATAAGTAAAATAGTCTATAATGTATTCTAAAAATATCAACCATTTATTACTATTATATATTTTGAAGGGTGGTATATCCTTTCACGATTTTAGAAAATTATTCCTGCTCTTAGTAATATAAAAAACCTATCTAAATATCGAGATAAAATTAAACCATGAAAACCAGAAAATATTTATTTATTACAATTTGTTTTTATATGGCATCAGTATAAATATGTTACCAAGACAATATTATGTCATTGAAATGTTATTGTTCTATATTTATTATTAATTTAAAAGGTGTTAAATAATGTTGAACTCTACTTACAACTAAAAGTATTTTTTACATAATTAAACCTTTTATATTTATTTCAGTAAAGTATAAGCGTAACTAGATAAATACTGTTTAGGATACTAATCGTGTATTCCTTTTACATTAAAAAGTACTTTTATACAATAATTCTTTGTTCTATTATATAATAAGATAAATACATAGTGTAGATGTATGTATATGTATTTATACTTTGGGAGAGAGTTAAAGCCCTCTCTAGTTGTGCCTGTATTTAGTTATTATAAGGTTCTTTAGATCTTCTCTTCAAAATAAAAATATAAAATGGTTGTTTAACTATGACTTTGGAATTATTTTAAAAACATAAGATATAAAATAATTTTACAGAATTTAATAGCATTCAACGTTCTATGATTTCCAGAAAACAATTTGATTCTCATCATCTTTTTATCTACCAAAAGAGGGGTTTTATACAACGGTTTGTGTAGTTCAATAAAATTTTTTTCTTTTTTAAAAATGACCTTAAATAACCGCATCCTTATATCCATTTGAAATTAAAGATCATGTAGATGATGTGAGTCATTCCCTCCAAAAAATTTTTTTTCTTTAAACTTTCTTTACACACGTTTGCTTTGATTCATTTTAATAATTTTAGATTTCTATAGTAGGCTTCACTATCCAGGATTATTTTTGAATCCCTACTGTATAGGATTTGGTTAGGTTCTTTTAGATATAAATTTATTGTTAAATATACTCTACATGGTCATTTGAAGGGCGCAGATTATATGATATGATGTTATCAAGTTTATAATATAGGTAGATTAAGAGGGTTTATTCCCCTAAAACTAAAAATATTTCTGTGCTTTTACGTAGTCCAACAAAAAAGTTGTACAAACTTAGGACCCTTTAAAATGGCTTAAACAAAGTTTATAAATACATTTAATTCACGCTTTAGTAATTTGAAAATAGATATAATATATTTATAACTATTTATTTATTTAAATTAATTTCTAGCTAGGGTGGTTTGCTCATCCTATATTTAAGGGTGATTATCCTCCAGTAATGAGACAGTGGGTAGATAGGAAAAACAAAGAAATAGGACGAGCGTGGTCAACATTACCAAAATTTACAGAAGAAGAAATCAAACTAATTCATGGTAGGAAGTTTTATATTGTTCTTTAGCAATTAAATGTTTTTGGTTTAAACCTCCGTGTCAATTTTTAAAATGAAAAAAACTTCAATTTAAAATATTTGTCAAATTCTAAAAACTTGTACCAAACTTGTTTAAAAAATGATTGAAACTTTTTAAAATTGCAGTTTTTCTATACATTTGAAAAAAAAATTTAATTATATTATTTAGTGAAATTTATATTACAAATATGTTAAATTTTCATTTTTAAATTACAATATTTAAATTTTAAACTATATTAAAAATATTAATTTAAAACTAAAAAATATTTAACTCAAAAAGCCACAAAAATTACTAAAAACTTGTACCAAACTTGTTTAAAAAATGATTGAAACTTTTTAAAATTGCAGTTTTTCTATACATTTGAAAAAAAAATTTAATTATATTATTTAGTGAAATTTATATTACAAATATGTTAAATTTTCATTTTTAAATTACAATATTTAAATTTTAAACTATATTAAAAATATTAATTTAAAACTAAAAAATATTTAACTCAAAAAGCCACAAAAATTACTAAAAACTTGTACCAAACTTGTTTAAAAAATGATTGAAACTTTTTAAAATTGCAGTTTTTCTATACATTTGAAAAAAAAATTTAATTATATTATTTAGTGAAATTTATATTACAAATATGTTAAATTTTCATTTTTAAATTACAATATTTAAATTTTAAACTATATTAAAAATATTAATTTAAAACTAAAAAATATTTAACTCAAAAAGCCACAAAAATTACTAAAAACTTGTACCAAACTTGTTTAAAAAATGATTGAAACTTTTTAAAATTGCAGTTTTTCTATACATTTGAAAAAAAAATTTAATTATATTATTTAGTGAAATTTATATTACAAATATGTTAAATTTTCATTTTTAAATTACAATATTTAAATTTTAAACTATATTAAAAATATTAATTTAAAACTAAAAAATATTTAACTCAAAAAGCCACAAAAATTACTAAAAACTTGTGGATACGTATTTTAGAAACCATCGACACTAAATATATTCAATTTTTTTAAAAGTATTTTATAATTTTAAATAAATATTTTTAATACAATATTAATTTTAAATAATATTAGTCATAAGTGATCAATATTTATTATATAAAAGTGTAAAATTAATAGATTAAAAAAGTTTAAATTTAATTGATAAAAATATTAATGAAGCGATTAAAAAAATTGCTGAAATTACTCATTTTTTTAGCATACAACCTAAGTATCACTTGTTTTACTTAAAAGGTTCAGCTGATTTCTTTGCTCTTAATCATTATACGTCCTGGCATGCATCACACGGAAAAGATCTAAATCCATATTGTAATTCAGATGCAGAATATATAGGTTCTTTTGATGATGAAACATGGATGGGTTCAATACTATTTTGGCTTAAGGTAATGCATATAAAAACAAATAGTTTTACTTATTTTTAATTAAAATTGCTTTTAAAGGTTGTACCAGAAGGTTTACACAAACTTCTTGTATGGATTAAAAACGAGTATAACAATCCTCCACTAATTATTACTGAAAATGGATTTGTTGATGATGGTCGAATAAACGATTTAGATAGAATTCACTACATTAAAGTAATTTTATTTTATCTAAACTGTCACTGAAATATAAATTATTTTTTAATTAATATATTTGTAGACTTATTTAAATGCTACACTTCAAGCTATACACGAGGATAAATGCAATATTATAGGTTACATATATTGGACCTTGTTGGATAATTTTGAATGGCTGGACGGATATGGGTAATAATACTTTAAGATATCGACGCTTTTTCGTTCAAAGCTCCTATACCATATTAAAAATAAAAAATGACTAGAATTTTCTTGATTTTACCCTGTACACAGAAATATACCACTAACCATGTAATCATGGTTACTCTCATATTCTTAGCTATGATAATATTATTTGATAGAGAATTGTGTTAATGTACAACTTTTCATATTAAATGTTTTCTGAAAAAATTTTTTATTTGAAAATTGAATATTTTACTGTGTTTTAATTAGTTTTTAAAAATATAAAAATTTGGTATACGTCCTTTTAACAAACAGTGTGATATAGAAATTATATTAAATTATTTAATTAACACTTGAACGTTTTTACAGTTACCATTTTGGAATAGTTAGTGTAGATTTCAATGATTCCAAGAGACCTCGCACACCAAAAGCGTCGTATCATTTTTTTAAATCTGTCATAGACACCAAAAAATTAGATGGTCAATAAAATACCTTCACAGAAGAGTTATGATTTGTTTATTATTTTTATTATAGCTCCATTTTTGTTTAAATATTTTATAATAATAATTAAAAATTTGATTTTTATTAATTTATTTAATAATTTTATATCAAATATTTTGTATGCGTAAAAAGTAAATAAAACTAAAACTTGTCATTAAGTTACTGAAATCAATGATAACGGTCTTGGTATGGTTAAATTTCATTTACCACAAGAAAAAAACATTAATATTGATTTTCAGGGATAAATTAAAAATTTTTCGTCTTAAAGAGAATAGTTGCACCTCTCTAGGATTATTTGATCCGTGTACTTTGGTTTATAGTAAAAATATTTGTATATTTTTTTGGACACATTTTCTTAATGTAATATTATTTTTAATAAAACTAGTTGATTGATAAAGGTTCAAATTTTTTTGGTGGGACTAAATCTGGTATTATGTTTCTTTTAACCTTTCAGTGATTATCAAGTGTAATCGCCCGTAACAATCAAGAGAGCAGTGACGGTCTAATGGGAAGTAATAAGGTCATAATTAAAGCAGAAGAATCAGAAAAAAAAAACTAAATATGCATAACTCATACACATATATTAATTAATAAATATCTTAGTAATTTGTTTATTTAAAAAAAAAATTAAAGATATGCGTAAAAAAACTTAAAAGCCATAAAATAGGTCAAATATGCCATGAATAGTAAAAAGAGCTTCATTATGCAAATATTCAATACAAAAATTTGATAATGTGTTATTACAAAACAGTTTGAATATAGTTCTACTCAAATCATTACAAATAAAAAAAGGATAAATTCTTCAAGTTCTATGCTTTGTAAGTAATGGAGGCAGGTATCGAGAAAAACAAATTACATCCTTTTATTTGCTTAAATTGCATACTTAGGGCATTGCATAACATTAAGTAGATTTTAAAAAACCCAGCACAGTGGGGTCGCGGCATAGTGGAGAGGNAAAAAAACGGTAGCACAGTGGGGTCGCGGCATAGTAGAGACATTGCATAGTTGGGTCCAGTATAGATTTAATCTGACAGTGATTAAAATCACTATCATAAGAAACGCTTCGATGCAAATCTGTAGATACTATTTAATTTAAAAAAATTGATGGATAATTACAAAAGCAACATCAACTTCTATTTCCTTAATTATACCCAGATTAGTAATTTTTTTAATTATATATTATATAATTTTTAAAATTAATTGTTTTCAAATTATTATTGATTTTGATTTTTAATATGTTAAAAGTAATCATTTTGAACCTACTTTTTATTGTCCTTTAAAGTGGAAGTTTTAATAAAAAAAAAAAATGAATTTATTACCATAACATTTAGATCAACAACGCAAGTTTGAAATTGACAAAATTAAATTGAAAAACAACGGTAGCACAATGGGGTCGAGGCTCAGTGTAGACAAGCCATAGATGGGACAAGTATAGATGATATTTGACAGTGATTAAAATCACTATCATAAGTTTCATCAAAGCGTTTCGCTTTGATGCAAATCTGTAGGTAGCGTTTCATTTAGAGAAATTGGTGGATTATTCCAAAAGCAACATCAACTCTTATTTCTTTGATTATATCTTAATTAGTAGTTCTTTGATTTTAAAATATAATATATGAATAAATACTAATTCTAATTATTAAATTTAGTATGAAAATAAATAAGTAAAAAAAATTTAATAAGTTTAATTTCTTATGTCTTATGACCTTTATTCTATTTCAATTAAATTATATAATATTCAAGAAAGTCAATATATTCTCCTAATAAAATATTTTAAAATAAAATACAAAACCTAGAATTTTAATAGAAAAATAGCATATTTTTGAATACGGTAGCCATTTGCGCATAGAAGATAGGTCGTCGGGATAAATTTTTTCTTTTCATTTCATAGTACATAAAATAAGCTTTAATTTGATATATGTTTAAAGGACGCAGTATTTCCGGAACATTTTCAAAAATTAAGTTGAAAAAGTTAGTTTTTGTAAAAAAAGTTGCTATTTTAAATCCCCCCCCATAAGCAGGTTAAGTGTTAGATATTCAAAATAATGATATCAAATGAAAGGGAAATATCTATGGTTTTAGTATAAAAATAATTTATGTTGATTTGTTTATTTTTGAAAAAGTTATGGAAGTTTTAAGAAATAAAAGTGAGAAAAATGACAAAGTTTACCGATTTTTAAATTTGTAATTTTTTTGGATATTTCCCCCATTTGCGGGGAACGAGGGAATTTTTTTCAATTTTTAAGGGTAATGTCTTCAACTAGATACGATTTGTGATCTCTTGACGTATTTTTGAAAGAAATCGGTCCAGTGAGAGCTGAGAAAAAGTGGTAACAGACACAAAAAAAAAAAAAACACATCATAGTAAAATTAATACCTTCTCAGCTTCGCATCGAAGCTAAAAAATGAAATTTGTTAAGATAATATGCAATCATGGAATTTTATAATTACTATTTACAGTACATTTATCAGAAAAGTTAGATTTTTTTACATTTTTATCGTAATAGATCACTTAAATAAAAATCATAGTAATCATTTCTAATTAACTTTTGGTGTTTAAAAAGATTCTACAATGGAAATATTCAGAATTTAATTAATTTTAATGATTATATATCTAAAAAAACCAAAAATAAAAAAATTGTTAAAAAGATTTACTCAATTGGGCGTATTATAAAATGTGATTATAATTGTAAAAATCCATCGTTAAATTCAGATGAAACCAAAAATCTTTTTTTTTTTAAATTTATGATTTATAATCAACATGTTACAAACAAATTTAAAATATTATAGACTGGTAGTAACACACACAAATAGAGTTAAAAAATTAATAAATTACAAAGTAAAATTATTTACTTTTGTAGTTGAATACTTTTATCATATCAAATCTAATTCGATAATAAATACTTTAAGAATATTAGAAATTAATGATTTTAATTGTTTGTATAGAAAAAGCTGGTTAAGCTAATTTTTATTTGAATAAGGAATATTTTTTCGATTGTTGAGAGTAATAACTTAAACTAAATACGAATTGTAATAATTTGACGTATCGTTGAAAAAAGTTGGACAAAATAAATCGTAGCCACAAAAAAAACTACATAGTAAAATAATATTAACATGAATATAAATTTTTTCTCACGAGGGGAGACTATAGTGATGGGATCTTTGATATTTATTGAAGTTATTGAATCTAAATGAGATAAATATCAAATGATTAAAAAATTTTATTCTAACTCAAAAGGAATGCAAAATTTTTTTGCCCACAGGCGAATTTGAATCTCGTAACCTAGACATGTAAGAATCAAGTGTTACTAATTCGGCAACTGTTAGTCGCTTTCGCCACATGATAAAATTGGCTATTTAAGCTGACGCAAATTTTAAAAATTACTTTTTCGACTTTAAAAAAACAAAAAAATTTAAATAAGTTTAATGTCTTATGTCTTATGAACTTTATTCTATATCAATTAAATTATATAATATTCATGAAAGTCAATGTATTCTCCTTTTAAGATATTTTAAATTAAAATAAAATACAAAACCTAGAATTTTAATAGAAAAATAGCATATTTTTGAATACAGTAGCTATTTGCGCATAGAAGATAGGTCGTCGGGACAATTTTTTTTTTTTTCGTTTTATAGTACATAAAATAAGCTTTAATTTGATATATGTTTAAAGGACGCAGTATTTACGGAACATTTTCAAAACTTAAGTTGAAAAAGTTAGATTTGTAAAAAAGTTGCTATTTTAAATCCCCCTTGTGAGCAGAATAAATGTTAGATTTTCAAAAAAAATGATTTCAAACGAAAGGAAATTACCCAAGGTTTCATTATAAAAAAAATTATGTTGATTTGTTGATTTTTGAAAAAGTTATAGAAGTTTTAAGAAAAAAATGACAAAATTTACCGAATTATAAATTTGTAATTTTTTTGGAGATTTCCCCTATGAGCTGAGAAAAAGTAGTGACAGACACAAAAAAAAAATATAAACACATCATGGTAAAATTAATACCTTCTCAGCTTCGCATCGAAGCTAAAAATAGTGGGAATTCAGCCCCTGTAAATTCAAATTTTTGGTGTGGAGTTATGCGGTAGAATGTTATGTGTTTAAATGACAAGTATTCGAAACACCTGTGTTCGGAAGTTGTAAGGTTGAAAATAATCTATCAATATTAATAAAAACAATACATATTATATATACAACACTAATAATGATAATAATATTGTTATACAATATTATTTTTATTGTGTATCCATATGGTAAACAAATGCGGTGTACGTAAATGTACGTGTACTATCGATGGAGAACTTAAATTAAGCACTAGGGTAAAGCAAAAATACCACAAAAAAATTCCTTTAGGTTACACTAGTACTTCAAAATTTGATCAGCAATATAGTTTAGCCTTTATTTTATGTAATGTTTGTATTTAAAATAATGAAAAACTGCTTCCGTGAATGAAATATTAACTAATAATTATAAAAATAGTAATTTTTATTGTTATTAAACTCATAACTTATAAAAAGCATTTGTTCTATTTTAATAACAAATAATGAAAAACCCAGCACAGTGAGGACGTGTCATAGTTGGGTCAAGTATAATGATATCTGAGAGTGATTAAAATCACTATCATAAAAATCTCTTTGATGCAAATCTGTAGGTAGTGTTTAATTTAAAAAGAAAATGGATTATTTTAAAAGCTATATGATCTCCTATTTCCTTATTTATTATATCCTGATTACAAGTTTTATGATTTATTAGTGTAATATATGTATATATATATATATATATATATATATTTAGCTAACGGCAATTTAAAGTGATACAATAAAAACTAAAAATCAATTATGGTATTACTTGACAACTTCAGCAATATTATTTACAGTTATAGAAATCTACGTGTTTGTACAATAAAATAACATTAAAACTAAAAATAAACAGTACATGTATGCATAATTTAAAACAACTATGAAACTATGATTTATCAAGAAAGTTAAGTATTTTATGTAAAGGATGGTTTCTGGAATAGTTAGTATGATGAGAAGGGACAAGGTAAAGTGTGTGTTTTCTGGTGAAATGCGTGGGTACCCGGAAAGAGATCGAAGAAAGAAAGACAGGGGCATCAACTGCGCCACTAAGGAGAGAAGTAATAAATGAAAGGTCAGCGTCTAATCGGTGAGAAGCAAGGGTAGGATATTTAAGGAAGATCTAATGGACGAATAGCCATGAAGCGGATGATCATTATTGAACAAATAAGCAGCGTAGGATAAGAAGCGGGTTTGAACTCGTTCTAAGCGTAATTGGTCCTTAGCCAAATATGGTTTCCATACAACTATTCCATACTCCAAAATAGAGCGGACAATAGAGAAATATAGAGAGCGAAGACAGGTAGGGGACGTGAAAATATTATAATATATTTTTTATATATTTATAAATTTATAATATATAAAGGGAAATGGTTTTATTTAAAAAAAAAGTATTTCAAATGAAAGAGGGATATAAATATTATTTCTCATAAAAAAATTGTATTGATCCATACACTTTCCAATAAGTATAGCATTATAAAGTTAAAAATGTAAAATATAAAATCGAGAATTTTCACACAAAAATAGCATTTGGTAACTATTTTCATCGTGAAGACTAAATAAAGTCCGATTTTTTTTTTCCGTAATAAAGTATATTACATTATCTTTAATTAATGATATATATAAAAGTGTCAGAGTTTCCGGAACACTTTCAAATGTTAAGATGAAAAAGTTAATTTTTTGTAAAAATGTTGTCATTTTAAATCCACCTGTAGTTAGGTAAAGGGTTAAATGTATAAACAAAATATACCAAATGAAAGTAAAAGACATCATGCATCTATAAAAAAAAATTACATTGATTTGGTCATTTTTAAAAAAGTTATGACAGTATTAAGTAAAAAAAATTGAAAAAATTTCGAAAATTAGTGAACATTTTTTTGGAGATTTCCCCCATTTACGGAAAATGAGGGAATTATTTCAATTTTTGAGGATAATGTCTTCGACTAGATACGATTTGTGATCTTTTGACGTATCATTAAAAGAAATCGGTTCGGTGGGAGCTGAGAAAAAGTAGTAACAGATACAAAAAAAAAAAAAACACATCATAGAAAAACTAATACCTTCCAGCTTCGAATCGAAGCTAAAATTGATCACTTTTGGCTAATATTATTTAAAATTAAAACTATATTAAAAATATTAATTATAAACTAAAAAATATATAGATCAAAAATGTATTAAATCACCCTTTTTATATTATTCGGGCATGTTAAATAGACTAGCTTGAATTTTTAAAAAATTTATTATTACTTTAGTAACATATAAAAGTAATAATTTAAGAAATTAATCAGGTAACCCTAAAAACAAAGTAGAAGAAAGGGGGTAATCGGGCATTTGTAAAATGTAATATGAAAGTTGTAATAAATATTATGTAAGACAAACAAAAAGAAATAAAGGGGTCAGGCTTAAAGAACATTTAAGAAGCATTAAAATTAAGAAGTTGATAAATCTTTTGTGGCTGAATATTTATTATTTTATTGACACATAATCACTCTATTGAAACCAAAAACTAAATAAAAACGTAAATAATTACAAAAAGCTTAATATATGGGTGGCAATAGAAATGTTTAAAAATAAAAACAATTAAATTAATTGGGATCTTGGTTAATTCATTATTAAACTTGTGTAAACAGGCAAAATGTGATAATGTTTTTTAGTAATATTATCACTAACGGCGTTTTTCTCGGTGTCAGTATGTGCTTAGAGTTGATAATGGTACCATTATTTCCGAAATACGTATCCGCAATTTTTTAGTAATTTTATTGTAGCTTTTTCAGGTTTAATATTTTAAATGTAGTTTTAATTTTAATCAATCAATATTAAAACTGAATAAAATAATTTTTATTATACAATAGCGTTGAAAATTGTATATTTTATATTCTTATGGTTTGACGAATTTTAATGAAATAAACTTATTTTCGAACACATGGCTTTTAAATATATGATCTTATGTACACGTGATTTTCAAACGTATGATAAATTCCCTAAATTTCTAGTTTCGCCTGTACTAGTTATAAATTATTTTTCTTTGCCGAATTCGATCATTTTTCAAAACCAGGACTCAAAAGTAAAAACAAAACTTAACCCGCAAGTAAAACTTATCCAGTCCCTGCATATAAATATTATAATCAGAGAAACTGAAATCAATTTTTTTAAAAACGATTATAACTGATTTTTTCTTATAGAAACATATATAAAAACTACATAATACTCAAAACCGGTTTCTAAAACTAAAACCACAAATAAATCACAAAATTTTAATTATTATCTAAATATTCTTGATTTTAAGTATTTACAACTCGTGGTGTTCAGACCTATTATCATTTATCGTTATAAATTGTTTATGAAAATGATAAAAAGTAAATATTTGAATAGTGTGAGATAAAATTGCTTTGAGAAGACTAGTTCTTAGGATTTTATAGCATTATAATAGTTTAATTGATTAAGAATTAATATAAACCATAAAAACAATATTTTGTATAAAATCAAAACAATTAAAATTAGGGGGTGTATGGAGCGAATGCCAACACGTAAGCTGTTTTAGAATTGATTCCTTAGCAAAAAAAATCTTTAATTTGTATCCAAAATGATTACATTAATAAATAAAACTAATCTATAAGTAGTTAGTAAGATAAAAAATGTGACATTAAGTGCTTTTAGAATTAATTGACAATTATATAGTTTTTTGTAAGTTTATCTTTCCAAAAATTTGTTTAATGCTACTTTTAAAAATTATGAAATAATTCCAGTAGTTCAACTACAATGGTTAAAAAAATAAAAAATACTTCAGATATCATTAATACATGATTATATTCGGAGACTTTTATATAGATTATTTATTCAGACATAAACAATTGCATGGTGATATTGAAGATTCAGTAAAATCTATTAACCGACTCATTAAGTTAATTCATTTTGTTAAAATAAAAATATGTTGATATTTAAATTTATTTAATGTGCATTTTTTTCTAAATAATTTTTATTATCACAAAATAATTACCATTATGAGAAATCTACACAATTTAATAGTTATAGTAATCATTACAATAATACCAAAAAGTCTTACGATCAAAAGTGAATTTCCTGATGGTTTTTTGTTTGGTGCATCCACTGCATCTTACCAAATTGAAGGAGCTTGGAATGAAGACGGTAATTAATAATTTCATGTTAATTTATTAAATATAATAAGAATAGATCACTTGTTTCCAATATTAATTTTAAATAAAAAAAATGTTCAATTTCATCAGCGCTAAACACATATACATATGTATAGTAATTTCTGTGGCTTTTTTAATAAAATAATAAATTAATTAATAAAATAAATATTTTAAATTTAAATTAATTCATTAGATCTACAACAATGAAAAATAAATGTTAATTTTAGGAAAAGGTGAAAATATATGGGACAAAATGGTTCATTCTCGCCCAGAGTTAGTCAAAGATAGTGCTAACGGTGATGTTGCGTGTGACTCATACCATAAATACAAAGAAGACGTAGCGCTTGCAAAAGATTTAAATGTAAACCATTCATAAACATATATATTTAGTAAAACAAAATTTAAAATATCACTATGGTTTATACGTTTTAGTTGAATTTTTATCGGTTTTCAATTTCATGGACTCGTATAGCACCAACCGGAGAAATGCATAAACTAAATCCTAAAGGAATAGATTATTACAATCGTTTAATTGATGAACTACTTGCAAACAATATTGAACCAATGGTAAAAATAATTTTATTGCTTATTTTTTTGTTCATTACTGTTAGTCATGTACTTTAGTATTTTCTATTATAAAGGTTACGATGTACCATTGGGATCTTCCACAGTATCTTCAAGATCTCGGAGGTTGGGTCAATCCAATTATGGTCGATTATTTTACAGAATATGCAAAAGTTTTATTTTCAAATTTTGGCGATAAGGTAAAAAAAATGTTTGAGATATTTATTTAACATAATTTTTTAGCAAGTTTATATCAATATTATGTCTCATTAAAGTTATAATTTTATGAATATTTTTATTATAATAATTTTTTTTAAATAAAGTTAATAATAGTTGAGGAGAATAGAGACATAAGTAAATTGTACCAGGAGTTAAATATTTTCTTTGGAAATAAAGTTCATTAAACATATACATAGGATTATACATTAAGGATAAGACACTTATTTAAAATTGAGATTTATTATTAAATAATTTTCATAATACTGGAAGCAATAGCATTTTATTTAAATGGGCCATAAATTACACCGGCACACAAAAAAAAAAAAGTTGTCTATACTTTTGACCGGACTCACCTACGGACATGTAAAATGACCCGTTGAATCCGAATTTGAAGTCCGTTTGGCCCTGTCACCCTTCAGATTTGAGTAAAATGAAAAAAACCAAAAAATTGCAAAAAACCGGTGAGTCCGGTCAAAAGTACAGACAACTTTTTTTTTTGTGTGCCGATGTTATCAGCCGTATTAATTCATGCTATCTTAAGTGACAGATATGATAACAAAAATCTTCAATAAAAAATTGTTAATGTGACATAATGAAGATATATATTACTATATAATAAATATCAAATTATAATTTGATATTTAATATTTATGTCAATAGAAAATTGGTCATAAAACGCCTAACTTTAACAAGCTATAACAAAAGAACGCTAATCGAATGAAAAATGTTATAAGAACAAAATTGCTTAAATTGTTTTTCTATCATATCATTAAACTATAAGTAGGGGTACACATTGAAGAATATTAAAGTTTAAATTTTTTAACCCAGAAGGGATCAAAAAAAATTATTTATTTACAAATAATTTTCGAAATTTTTTGATACAAATAATTTTTTTCGTTTACTAAAATTAAAATTTTTTATCCATCATTAAAAATAGCACTCAAGAAAATTAGTGTTTTATTGATCACATTATACAGAATGTCGCACCGTAATTTAAAAACTATATAAACTAATATTAAAATTAGTAAATGACGATGTCCCATCTATATGAAAATATAATATATATAAAAAAAATTAATTTCAAAATTGAGAATTCAAATTTTTTTTTCAATTGTATTGTGTTTAAGTTTTTAAAAATCATTTGTAGGTCAAATGGTGGATTACACTTAATGAACCCAAAGAAACATGTAGAGCTTATTCGAATCATAGTTATGCTCCTTATTTAAACTTAAATAACACAGGATATTACATGGCTGGCCATATCCAATTGCTGGCTCATAGTAAAGTTTATCATTTATATAATGAATTGTTTAGAGATAAACAAAAAGGTATTATTGTATTGGAATCAATTAATAACTTCAATGAATTATATTTTTTTTATCTTTGAATCTTTTTATTTAAGGTAAAATAAGTATATCAATCAGTGGAGCATTTTACATGCCAAAAAATGAAAGTTCGGTGGATGACATGGAAATTGCTGATCGAGCCAATAATTTTGAAGTATGAACTAATTTAATTTATTAAATTCTTAATTTTTCTAAGCAAAAATTAATATCCCCGTATACTAGCCCTTTCCTACACCACTTAAGTAATTTCTCTTTAATATCATAATAATTAATTTTAAACTCACGATTTCTAAATATTTGTATACAAATATATGTGTACTATGACTACTGTACTAATACTGTACTACTGTACTGTACTAATATATATGACTATGTGTATACATATGTTTTGTACAATAATGTTTATACATTAACAAAAAATGTTTATTAACAAATGCTATAGAAAAATGACATAAAAATACACCGTCATTTTAGTCGGTATTTGAAATTTATACTACTTAATAAGATTTTTATTATTATTATTCTTTGGTACATATATAGAGTAGAACAAATTAAACAGACAACTCTCATAAATTATGATCAATTAATCATTTCACTGTAATTGTTTAAACAATTTTCGTATTCATAGGCTACGTTAAAATCATATTTTTTGATATTTGTTTTTAAAAATAAAAAAAAAAATTAAAGTTTTTTTCGAAATATCAAATTTTCAAGATTTTTCTAACAAAATTGATTAATGGATCGATAAAAATTTTAGAAAAAATACTTTTTAAATAATAAGTATTATAATATATAAAGTGGGTGACTCTCATTCACTCAGTGAGTTTCGGGGCGTATGTAGTGCCGATGATTCTACGTTATGAATATACACCAGTACGAGCTGCACCCTAGTGCTACATACCTACTCACAATTATTTTTTGTCTTCTAATTTTTTTTACCTATTAGAATTATCTGTAAAAAATAATTATTTTAAAATTTTGAAAAAATTAAAAACTAAAAAAAATCATTTTTTATTCAAAATTAATAATAAATAAATAAAATATAAAAAATACTGTGATGCAAATCTGTTGATAGTGTTTATTTTTTAGAAGAAATTGCTGAATTATTTTAAAAGCAACAATTAATAATTTTAAAGATATAGGAGTTACTCGAGTATTCAATACTGCCGCTCAGAATAATCTGATTATTATGCTTTTCAAAAAAAAAAAAATTTCTTTATTTTTCATTATGCGTTGCTATTTTTTTTTAAATTTGAATAAAAAAAAAATTCTTTACCCTACAATTTATTTTACTTCATGATGAACTACGAGAAGTCTCCGTGAAAATATTTAACTAACACTTAAATCTTTTTATTATTATTATTATTATTTTGTAAATCATGGTACTTAACTCCTTATATGACAATGGTTTGAACTTAAGTATAGGCATAGATAATTGTAAAAAAAAAATTGAAGTAGAAAATTGTAACAACATGAAAAATAATTTATTTTTTTACACAATGATAACATATTTTGTTTAATTTCGGTACCGTTATTTTATAGCGGCCGTTAACATACGATATATTTTAACATATGTTGAAGTTTGTAGTATATTTGGTACATATTCAAAAGTTAAGTTGGAAAGATAAACTTTTCATGCATAAATTACTATCTTGAATCTCTCTGATGGGCAAATTTTCTAAAAAATGCATATTAAAAAAAGGAAATTTTTAAGGTGTTTATAAAAAAAATTTTTTTTGAATTTATTCCTTTTTTATAAAGTTATGAAAGTTTTAAGTAAAAATGTCAAAATGCACAGATTTAAAAAATTGTAATTTATTTTTGGAATTTCTCCCATTTACGGCGAATGAAAGAAATTTGTGTAATTTTTGAGGCTAGTATTCTCATCTAAATACGATTTTTGATCTTTTGACGTATTTTTGAAAATATCGGTCCAGTAAGTCCTGAAAAACGAAGTAACAGACACAAAAAAAAAATCATGGTAAAATTAATCCCTTCTCAGCTTCACATCGGAGCTAAAATATATGTCTAAAAATGTAAAAATTGTTTAAAATAAAAATTAAAGTGAAATAATTATCGGATCAAAAGTTGTAGGAATTGTTAGTTAGATAAAATACATTATGTTGAAGAGTTACACAGTTTTTCTTGGAGATGATTAGGAAAAATACATATTCATTCGTATAAATAATTTTTAGATAGGATGGTTCAGTCACCCGATATATAAGGGTGATTATTCACCAATTATGAGAAAATTTGTGGATAGGAAAAGTAAAGAAGAAGGACGACCTTGGTCAACGTTACCAACTTTTACAGATGAAGAAATAAAACTACTAATTGGTAATAAACTCAGTAAATTTTGATTAAATATAAAATAAATTTCATTAATTTGTAAAATAAATAACTATTTTATATTTAAAAATTATATACTAATTTTTTGAGATAAACAAGCTTATATATAATTCTATTGAATTAAACCACTCTAAATATAAAAACCCAACACAGTGGGGACGTGTCATAGTTGGGTCAAGTATAATGATATCTGAGAGTGATTAAAATCACAATCATGAAAATCGCTTCGATACAAATCTGTAGGTAGTGTTTAATTTAAAAAAATGATGGATTATTTCAAAAGCTATATGATTTCCTGTTTCCTTATTTATATACTGATTACAAGTTTTATGATTTATAAGTGTAATATATGAATAAATATATATTTATAATATATAAAGCGAAATGGTTTTATTTAAAAAAAAAGTATATCAAATAAAAGAGGGGTATAAATATTATTTCTCATAAAAAAATTGTACTGATCCATACATTTTTCAAAAAGTATAGCATTATAAAATTAATAATGTAAAATATAAAATCGAGAATTTTCACACAAAAATAGCATTTGGTAACTATTTTCATCGTGAAGACTAAATAAAGTCCGAATTTTTTTTTTCTATAATGAAGTATATTACATAAGCTTTAATTTTAGGTATATATAAAATTGTCAGTATTTCTGAAAGAGTTTCAAAAAATAAATTGAAAAAATTGTCATTTTTAATCCCCCCATGTAGGCAGGTAAAGGGTCAAATTTATAAAAAAAAATATGTCAAATGGTAGATAAAGACATTATGCATCTATAAAAAAAAAATTATATATATATATAATCATTATTGAAAAAGTTATGGCAGTTTTAAGTAAAAATTTGAAAAAATTTCGAAAAGTAGTAATTTTTAAATTTATTATTTTTTTGGAAATTTCCCCCATTTACGAGTAACGAGGGACATTTTATTAATTTTTGAGGGTAATTTCTCTGACTAATATATAAAAAATTATAACTTTAATAATTATTGGATATTTGTGCAATAAATGATGTTCTTACACTTCAAAAATTTATAATTGAATAGGACACCAATGAAATTGTGAATTTGTTTTTTTCAGCACAATGGTTAAAAGTGACATTAGTTTTTTAAAATAGCCACACAACGAAAATATATTTATTTTTTCAAGTTTTCATAATTAAGAATACATATTGAGAGCTTTTGATTCAAATAAATGTAAAAAAAAATTGATTATAACAAATAACTCCATAGCATTATTTGGAGACTTCAAACTAATCTTTAAAGAGAAATCATGCTTTTTTTAAACTTCGTTCGTTTCTTAATTTTGTTTTTAAAATAATTGAATTTGGTCAACTATCTAAGAAGACTATATAGATGCTTTTAAATCCTGCTTAATGTTTTAGTATGGCTAATATTTAAAATTATTTTACATTAAAATTTACCGATATAGTATCCATGGATGAACATTGTTCACTTGTTCAGACTTGACCGTTTTTGATAGTATTTTTATTGAAAGGTTTCAAAAAGTTGTTTGGTTAAAATTCCTTTTTTTTTAGATTTTTAATTTTGGACTGTGATAACTTGAAATGTTTTCTATTCATTATGAAACACACAATAAAAACATTAAACATGTTTCATATATTCTTTCTAATCAAAAAGATTTACACGAAACTACATACGTTTCGTGGTGGTAAACAATTAAATATAGCAGTCTACCGGGATATTCCTTGTATTTAGACAAAACATTAGGTACATTAAAAGTTTTCTATAGTTTAAAATTTTAATTAAAATTATAAAATTAAAAAATAATAAACTTTTTATGATGTTACAATAAAATTTACTAAAACTTCATATTATTTTAATTTACCATATTGAGAATAATAATTATACTAAATTTAATTTATACATAAAATAATAATAAAATATATATATAATTAAAATTATATAGATAATTAAATATTTTAATTATCGTGCAAATTATTATTATCTTTATTTAATGTTTTTTTTCAAGAATACAAAAAACCACTAATATGAAATGTTATACAATACTATTTTAGGCACAGCAGATTTTTATGCACTTAATCATTATTCATCTCGTTTGGTAACTAGTGGTTCAGAATTAGACCCATCTTTTAATTCAGATGCTGAATATTCAACTTTTGTCGACGAATCCTGGCCAGTTTCTATTGCTCCTTGGCTTATAGTAACACAAACTATTGATTAAAAATATAAATATAATAAGTATTTTAAATATATTACATATTTCGAACATAATAATTGTAATTTAAGGTTGTACCAGAAGGCTTGCATAAACTTCTCGTTTGGATAAAAAATCAATACAATAATCCACCAGTTATCATTACAGAAAATGGATATGCTGATGATGGTAGGATAAATGATTTGGAGAGAATTGATTATATTAAGGTAAATCTTGAATTTTTACTTTTCTATATAAAAATATTTCCTCTCTTCAAATAATTTCTATTGGAGTGTTATTCTAGAGTTATTTGAATTCAACACTTAAAGCTATATACCAAAACAAGTGTAATGTTATTGGTTACACATGTTGGTCGTTAATAGACAACTTTGAATGGATGGATGGTTATAGGTATTTATACAGTGGGAAATAATATACTTATATATATATATCTGACATTGTATATCTAAATATATCTGACGTTTTTTTTAGGTATCATTTTGGAATGGTTCATGTCGATTTCAATGATCCTCTTAGACAACGTGTACCAAAAGCATCATATCAGTTTTACAAAAATGTTGTTACTAACGGAAAATTAGATGTTCAGTACTGATACTAACTCAGATAACAAAGAATCGTTTTTCAATAAAACTATTGCATTAATATTTTTAATATATAATATTTCATTTATATTATTATTTATGTGCGATAAAGTAAAAACAAATTAATAATAACAAAAAAATAATTTTATTAAATGATAATAATTATAATAATGTTATTCAACTATATTTTCACAATATAAAATATATAATGTTTATGTTAAATTGACTTTATAACTAATAAAATTAAATCATAGTATAAATAATAGATTGTGTCTATAGAAAAATGTTATTTTATAGTTAGAAATTTTTTTTTAGAAAAATAGATCATTATTTACTTGATAGGAAATATCTAATTAGCTTATTACTTACTATTACTATGTTTTAGTTCCGATGCGAAGCTGAGAAGGTATGAATTTTACTATGTTGTGTTTTTTATTGTATCTGTTACCACTTTTTCTCAGCTCTCATCGAACAGTCTTCTTTCGACGATACGTCAAAAGATCATAAATTCTATTTAGTCGAAACAATCATCTTTAGAAATTGAAATAAGTTCCTTCGTTCCTCATAAAAGTGGCAAATTGCCAAAAATATTACAACTTTCAACATTTTTAAAACTTTTTTGGATTTTTTAAATCCAATTCGCAGTGACCAAATATTAGAAAAATATTTTTTAATTTAAGAAATTTAGACAAATATCTACTGTAAAAAATGGCAAATTAAAAAAAAAACTTATTTAAATGAAATATCTCCATAAATAACAAGAGTATAAAATTCGTTTTTATATTGAATTACACAATATATCACTAAAATTTAACATTTTTTAATAAGCATAGACCAAAATATACTTTGCTAAACAAGGATTTTGTGCTGATTTAAAAACTGTTATTAGATTTTTTCCATCAACACTACTTTCGATATTATTACCAACACAACAACATATATAAAAAATACAATAAAAATATTTAGTTTTCAGTTTTTGCATTTGATACTTTGGCGAAATTTTGTTAAATTAAATTTAATAAGTTTTCTACAATATTAAAAGCAAATTGATTTCGTGAACATAGTTTTATTAACAATACTGTATACACATAAAGTATGTCACGCTACAGTTCACTTCATCAAGTAACAGCTCATCGTTGTCTAGTAGCGATGATTCTTCGGACGAAAGTCCTTCTTCAAATGGAAGCTCATCGTCGTCCAGTTGTAGTTCAACTTTAACAAGCGTCAACTCACGGTCGTTTAGCAGTAGTTCATTGTCTTCCATTAGCGATGATTCATCGAATGAAAGTTCGACTTCCACTGGAAATTGTACGCAAAATTTTAATTTAAAACGCAAATTCAATAAATATTTGGATGAACCTAATAAAAAAATATAATATCTTTATTATTATACAAAATAAATTGGTAGATTCAATGTATATTTAGGATAATACTTGTCTAACAATGTCTTTTTTAAAGGGTTACGCGAAGAAACTTAAACGTTTTAATATTTTCTTATAAATCGGGATGATAAAAAATTAATACATTCTCGGTAAATTTTATACTAACTATAAACTATTTTTAAGGTGTTGTGAGTTACCGTATGCTGTTAACGATGATTGGTCATTTAAAAATTATCCGTGTCTGTTGGATTCTGAACGTGAAACTAATGCTAAATGGAGTATTCACAACTCGATGATTGGTATGTATAAGTTTTAATTGTGTTTAGCAATCAGTTATATTTAATACACGCTTGACTATATAATTATAATATAGTCGTATAATTATAAAATAGTATTTATAATGTCTGTAATAAGTAGAATAATTTTTGTTTCAAAAAAAAAATATTTATATTTTTTTTTAGATTTGCCAGCCGAGAAAAAAATAACTGTCACTAGAGAAACAGATGTTGGTATAAAAATTGAAGAGAATTTTTTAGCTAGCGACTTTCCTACTAACGTAGAACCAAATATAAACAACTCTATTGATTGTCAACATGTCAATTCGCATAATGGCGAGGAATTTACCAATTATTCTGAAAATGTTGATTTAACCAGTATTTCACAACACTATGTTTTCAATCCGGAGGATAACACTTTTTCAAAAAGTGTTGTTAAAAATAATACAGATATCCTCGTTACAAATGACGTTGATGAAGAATCTGTTTTGAACGAAGATATACCTATCGACCCTAAAAATAGTCAACTAAATATGAATGTTGATATTAATAATAATTGCTCGGAGCCAAGCACTTCGAATAATGAAAATTATTCAAACACTAGTCGTTGTGTCAAATGCAAAATATTAACTTCATGGGGAGAAGATTGGTTTTATACGACCCATACTGATAGGTATACAGGTCTTAGATATATAACATTGATGAACCCTTTGAACGAACTTCCCGTTAGTTATGTGGAAACTATTGATCTCACAAATTCAGACGACGATGAGCAACCTGTTATAGACAGGAGTACTACACGTGGAAAAGAAGTGCAGCCAATGAGCGCACTTAACCACACAAATTTTCACGAAAATAATTGTGATGGAGGTCAACCTTTCATAGTTGATCATTATGAAAAAATCGCTATAGATACTACTGAAGGTATCAGTTTCGTATACAATTGGATTCCAGAAATGCACGAGGTAATTTTTAAGAATGACAGCATATAAAACTAACTGAATTAACTTACTTAAATTGTTGACAAGTTTTCATTTTATTTCAATTAGTTGAACAACTTTTTATTATTTTTGCATTAATCGGAAATTTATTATTGTTTTTTTTACGATGGTTGTGATTATGAAAATTATTTATTTATCTTTTTCTTATTTTTGAAATTTATTTTTCGTTTTATACGAGTTGATTTATTTGTTAATGATAATGTTATATTGGTTAATAATTTAAAAAAATGTATTTTAGTATTATAATTTTGTTAAATAAATTTTATATTTTAATAAACATGTGCATTGATTTATTTCAAAATTAAATTATTGCACATACTACTCAGTGATTAATTGTAATAAACATTGATGATTCAATGCTGTAAATAAAATGTATGATTTATATGAATAAAAAACAATGGTAAATTTAAATATTTAGTTTACACTTCAATATGTTACTTTGATAATATAGTTGAAAATAACTTATATTGTTTAGTTTTGGTAATTGATTTAAAAACAAATTGTTTTTTTTTTTAATTGGACCATTTCCCTTTATAGAGGGGGACCAAAACTTTAATCATGCATATAGAAACTAATACTTTTTTTAAGTTATAATTCTTGGTTTTGTATTTCATTCTATTTTAAAATACCTTATAACGGTTTTTGAGTTAGAAAAAACTGTTTAACTCTTTTGATATTTATCTCATTTATATTCAATAAATTCAATGAATATCAAGGACCTCATCATTGTAGTCTCCCCTTGTTTGAAGAAATTTCTTATTTATATTAAAATTATTTTACTATGTGATTTTTTTTTTTTTGTGGCTCTCATTTATTTTCTCAACTCTCACTGGACCAACTTTTTTTAACGATACATCAAATGATCATAACTATTACCTAGTTAAAAATATTAACTCTGTGGAAATTATAGAGGCATAAAGCCTATGTGTCATAGTATGAAAATTTGGGAATGGTAGTAGATAAGAGAATAAGAAATGAGACATCGGTATCTAAAATCCAGTTTGGATTTATGCCTGGTAAGTCAACAATGGAGCCAGTATTTTGTGTGAGGTAGCTAATAGAAAAGTTTAGGGAAAAGAAGAAAAAGCTGTTTATGGTATTTATAGATTTGGAGAAAGCGTATGATAAAGTACCGAGAGAGGTTTTAAAGTGGACATTAATGAGAAAAAGAGTCCCAAAAAGGTACATTAATATAATAGAAAATATGTATGATGGCACTTTTGCCAGGGTAAAAAGCGTAGGAAGAGTAACAGATGGTTTTCGGATAAGAGTAGGAGTGCACCAAGGTTCTGTTTTAAGCTCTTATTTATTCTCTATAGTGATGGATGAAATACAAGGAGAGGTGCCGTGGTGCATGTTGTTTGCTGACGATATAGTGTTAATAGGAAAAAATAGTGAGGAAATTAATCCAAAAAAAAGATGGGGGTATGCTATTGAATGCGATATCAGGACAAATGATATGAGCGTAGATGATGTGGGAGATCGTGTCAAATGGAAGTTTAGGATAAGGGTGGCCGACCCCAAGTAGTTGGGATTAAGGCGAGGAAGAAGAAGAAGAAAAATCAAATTCTAATAAAATAATCAATTATTAATTATGATAACTATTATTCAAATATTTAAGATATCAATACTTTAATTTGTTTCTATTTTATTTGTAAAATTTATTGAATGACTAAAGTTGAACGAATGAGTTTTAGTGAGAAAATTAATAACTTCATAGGTTGCTCAATCGATTTAATTTTAAGTAATTTTTCTTCAAGTTTCATGTTTATTTTATTAGTTTATACAATATGTGCAGTGTAATTTACAGAATTGTTAGCTACATTTACTTATTGTGTATTTTTGATATACGTTTTTTACGTATTACGCTATACGTATTGATTTTATGACCAACCCCTTTTCATGATCATTGGCAAATCAATATATTCATAATATCAAGAAAATCTCTGCCATTAAAAAATTTGGTATATTGTTAATGAAAACATAAATTAAGTTATAAAAAATGAAGGGAAAATTATATTTTTACAAATCCCAGAACATTTATTTATAAGTATAAAAATCGTTTAATAACATCAACCATAATTTTGAAAGAATAAAGAAATATTAAAATGAATTTTGTGTTGATTGTACTGTAAGAAGTTTCCAATTAAATAGAATTTATATTTATGTACAATGTATTGCTATAATAAAAATTGATCACTGGAGGTTAATATTATTTAAAATTAAAATTATAAAAAAATATTAATTTAAACTAACAAATATTTAAATAAAAAAAACCACAAAAAATTACTAAAAAAACGCAAATTTTTATTTTGTAAAAATGTTATTAATACATTAAACACATTCGTAAGTATGTGTTTTTTGAGTTAAATATTTTTAAACTATTTATTGTTGTTCTAAAGAATAGGAATATATTATACGAATTTCAAATTAAGTTCAAAGTTATAATTTCTATTATCAAAAATTATGTTTTAAGTGAAGTGTAAAGATTTAGTAGAATAAAAACATATTTCTGTACTAGTAACAGAACTATAACTTAGAATTATCTATTTTGCACGTCTATGTTATGAGATATAATACATATGTTACATTTTTTGTACAAATAAGAAAGACTGTTCAGTTTTTTATTTGAATTCTTAATATAGAATTATAATACCCGAAACACAATTTCAAATAAGGGAAACTCATTTTAATTTCATTCAACAAGGAAAACTAAAATTTAATTAAACTTTCAGTTTTATTATTCATAAATGATAAGAGCTTCCATTGATAGCTTAAAATCTGATTTGANAATATCTAAAACTAAAATTTAATTAAACTTTCAGTTTTATTATTCATAAATGATAAGAGCTTCCATTGATAGCTTAAAATCTGATTTGATTAAAACTGCAATTTTAATTATTTTAATAATACATTTTTAAAATATTCTTCAGCATACAATTAATATTTTTAAATATTAAATCATTAGATTCATATTTTATTTAGCTAACTATATATTTTCTGTGATAATTATATTTAAAGTCGTGATTATGTCATATAATAATATATATTTTGCTTTCTTTGAAGCGAGTGAAGTTTGTGGGCATATTGATGAAAATTTAAAGAAAAAAATGTTTCCGTTTTGTAGGAATTTTAGTCTAACTGGGATTTACTTTTCAACGAGGTTTTATTAATTTAATTATTATTGTAATATTAAAATTACAATAACTTGATTAAATATTAATTATTTATTTATGCATTTATTCTTTTATATCTACTTTTTCTTTAAAGTTTAGGTTGTTGCAAAGAGAACGGAAAAGTTTATATGCTTTTGAACCAAGAAATTGAATTCCGGCTACCTTAACCGAGACAATCCAATCTTAAATTAAATAAATCTTAATAATTTAATATTTGCACGATAAATTTATACTTTATACGTTTTAGTTTCATTTTGGATGCTTATTTTAACTTTAGGTATCTTCGATAACAGTTCATAGTTAAACAAATGTTTTTTGAGTGTCGTAATGTTAATATCATATAATTAAGTGTAGATTACATAGACACTATTAATAAATAAGATGTTTTTCTTCGAACATAATATGTGTTTAATTAAATGGTACTGTACTTCAGGTAGACTCAAGATAAATAAACTGTTCCATGAATTTCAAACGACTATGAAAACCACATAGTTGAATTTATATCCAGTAACATTTAAAGATATTTAATTATTCCAATAACAATAATAATACCACACTATCTCGTTGATTATGCGTCAAGTAGTAACGTTCGTGGTTCAAAGCGCCCTAATTATATGTCGAATGTCGTGGGTGAAAATTCATGCATATACGTAAATTCCTTGGGTTTTATTCATTCAACCTTGATGACGTTATATACAGAGTGATTGTATAACTATGACTCAAGCGAAGTCTATAAAAAAATAAAAAATAAATTATATTTTTTTTACTTATCAGAAGTTAATACATTAACTTCCCAAATTATAAAATGATAAAATTATAGAATATAGGCTATAATAATTTTTTTGTTCAGTATTCTCAGCAAATAATACAGATCCATTGTCTTTGGATAATTACGAAGGTGATAAAATTAATTTTTCCAAGTGTGATTAATTTTTATCAGATATTTTTGAAGGTCTTTCTCATCTTAAAAATAGCACTTCAACTGGACCTGATTTAATTTCTGAAATATTTCTTAATAAATGTCGTTGTGCTCTTGCCCGGTCGATTCATTTCCTTTATTCCCTTTCATTATCATCTGGTTGTTTTCCAGATCTTTGGAAATTTAGCTTTATATATCCTATTTTTAAATCTGGTGATAGAAGTGAAGTAACTAAACCCAACCCAATCCTATATCTAAGCTTAATGTCTTACCATAGTTATTTGAAAAATTATTAATACCGAAGCTTGCATACACATTTCAACCTATTTTAGTTAATAATCAACATGGCTTCCGTTCATCAATATCAACTATAACAAATCTTCTTATTTTTACACTTCTTTAACATCTGATATAATCTCTGGAGGCCGCGTAGATACTGTGTATACTGATCTCAAAAAAGTTTTCGATAAAGTTGATCATTCAATTTTGTTAAAAAAGCTAAGACTTTTGGGTGTAGATTATCCAATGCTTGCGTGGTTTTCTTCCTTTCTCAAAAATAGAAATCAACAAATCAAAATAGGTAATTTTACTTCGAATATAGTTAAGATTACTTCAAGAGTACCACAAGGTAGCCATTTGTCTCCTTTACTTTTATCGTTTTTATTAATGATTTATGTCGAATTTTTCAACACTGCAACTATCTGCTTTTTGCGGATGATCTTAAGTTATTTATGATCATTCAATCAATTGATGATTGTGGTAAATTACAATCAGATTTAGATAAATTCAGTTTATGGTGTAAAAAAATATGGATTAGTAATTAATACAAATAAATGTCATCAGATAACATTTACTCGTTCTAAAAATGTAAATATTAATCAGTACACGATTGATGGTTGTAATTTGCTTAATGTTTATTGTATTAAAGATTTAGGAGTTATATTATCCAGCGATTTATCTTTTTCTAACCATATAGATTATATTTACAATACAAATTTTAAACATTATAAATCGTCACTAACACTTGGATTTTTGAGAAGAAATTGTAATGAATTCAATAATATTTTTTGTATCAAAACCTTGTACATTTCTTTTGT